ATAGTAACAATAATAATAATAATAATAATAATAATAATAATAATAATAATAATAATAATAATAATAATAATAATAAAATAAGCTGCGAGGAAAAGAGAGTCCCAATAATAAAACTAAAACTACAACCTATTAGGCCTGTAAACAGAGTGCAAAACTCAAGACAAACCAATCCACCTGTGTTACCAACTGACTTCTCAGTGTTTTTTGTATGAGGTTCTTTTTACATTTTATTATTATTATAATGGTGGATGTCTTTACCTTTTTTAGTGTTAAATGCTTCGATATGCCCTTTAAAGGCACTATAGATTATTATTATGAGGTGGTGCTTTTTAATCTCAGTATAGAAACATAAAGTATCAAAAGGACACACGTTCTGTAGCCTACTGCAATACAAAAAGAGAATAATCCAGAGAGACATTAAAAATCTGAAATCAAATGTGCTCTTTATCTTTATTTGTCTCCCTAAGGATTGTTTCTTGGCAACTGAGAGAGCAAAGAAACACAAAATATTTTGACAAAACAGAATGTATACAAAAGTACATAAATACATTGCACAAAACACCTACACCTTTAGGATTTTTAGGAGATGTAACTGATGTCTAAAGTGCTTTAAAAAATGTCATTGATTACATTGACCGTAATATTAGTTACGAACACATTGCATTTTGATGTTCTCTTTTGCAGAAGAGCTCGACTCCTTTCTTTGCCTCTTCTTTGAAGACAAGTCAAACAACTTAAAATCTTTAACATTATAATGTTTTTTCAACTCTGTCTCTAATTTTTTCACAGTAATGCTTCTGGGAGGATTGTTCTTATTTCTTCCAATAAACCCTCTTGCGATTTTACTTTTCATGTTGTTGTCTAAGCAGTGGAACGCAGTCCAGAAATGACTAGGCACAGCCACTCTGTTTTTAATTTTTTTTTTACTTGGAACCACCCCTGTCACTATGTAAGCAGTAAGGTTCTTGCATTCACTATCCAAACGTTTCGCAATATCTTTTTCTAGATCCCTCCATTCACCTCCGTTAAAAGAGGGGTTTTGTGGAGCAGCATTTGTTAGAGTGAAGGTGGCGTCAGCACAGCCCTGAGAGTTTGCATGATAAACTGGAGCCAGATGACCTCTGTCGTAGCCAGATTTATAATAGTCTTTATTGAGAGCTTGAAGAACTCCTAAATTTTTCTTCAATTCCATGTTTGATGATGCAAGCTGCAAATAGAAAAGTAAATTTTGTTGTTTAATTTGGCATGCTTCTTTCTAATCATTTGAAAGTGTTGGGTGTGGCTAGGCTATTGCTAGGGTGTGTGGAGACATTGCTAAGTATTTGCTAGGAAATTGCTAGGGTGTTCTGAGTGGTTCCAGAGGCATTGGTGGTTGCTAGGGTGTTTTGAGGGGTTGCTATGTGGTTGTTAAGGTGTTACTAGATTGTTCTGTGTGGTTGCTTTGGGTTCTAGGTGGTTGCTAAGGCGTTGCTGGGTGGTTGATAAGGTGTTCTGAGTGTCTGCTAAGGTGTTGCTGGGTAGTTGCTAAGATGTTCTAGGTGGTTGCTAAGGTGTTGCTAGATGGTTGCTATGGTGTTCTGAGTCGTTGTTGAAACATTGCTAGAATGTTGCTAAGGTCTTGCTAGACAGTTCCTAGGGTGTTCTCTGAGTGGTTGGTAAGTTGTTGCTAGGTGTTCTAAGTTGTTGCTAAGGCGTTGCTAGGGTGGTCTAGGTTGTTGCTAAGGTGTAGCGAGTGGTTGCTAGGCAGTTAAGATAAATTAGCATGGTTCTAGTTTGAATTTGCATGGTTCAAGTATGATTAGCATGTTGCTAGCATTTTAACGCGGAGTGGTTGCAACACAGTTGCTAAGGAATAGCTAGGGTTTTCTGGGTGGTTGCTAAGGTGTTTTAGGTGGTTGCTAGATTCGTATGTTTCCAGTATGGATTGGTATGTCATTAGTATGTTTCTAGTATGGATTAGTATATTGCTAGTATGAATTGATATGTTTTTAGTATGTCCAATGTAAGTTGTCATTTTTTTACGATGGAAGTCAATGAGTCAGTTGCTAAGGTGCTGTAAGTGGTTGCTAAGGTGTGGCTAGTTAGAAAGGTCATCAATGATTGGCAGATTGGTAGTCCAAGTTAAATGAGCTCAACCTTAAGTCTGATGTGAAGTTATGAGGTCACAAAGAGGTCTAATGTTAAGTCAATGGGACTTTTCTAAGTTGTCCAGGTCAGTTTTCAGAAAACCGTAGGTCGGATCATTTGGAAAAGATATAGATGCTTAATTTATTTTTTGAAAGTTTGGAGTTAGTTTGGTGGTTGTAGTATGAAAAGAGATGCAATCTTAAAATAGTCTAAAAAGATTAACTGTATATTGGCTTTCACAAGCCACCACAATAAAGAAAAAGAAAATACAAGATAAAAAAAATACTTAAATATTAATGTGACATTTTACAGAAGGAATGAATACATAAATGAATACATAATGGCACTATCAGGCACTGTTACTCATTTCTGCATAGGTAGAAAATGTTTTCTCTCATCCTATTGGGCATGCTATTATTGTACTTTATAATGTGGAGTGTGAATAAAAATTAAGTTTGCGTGATATTTTACTTACTTGAGGTTCAATGTACCACTTGTCTAGTCTTGTGCAGCCCATTAGCCCTTCAAACTTGTAGGCCGAGTACACAGGGATTCTGTTGTGAGTGTCATAAAGTGTGGCAAAATAAACAGCATTATCTAGAGTTTGGCAGATCTGCTTGTAGTGATCTCCAGTAAATTTTGTTGGAGATTTTCCATTAGCAAAAAATTGACCACAGCTCTTCTCAAAATCATCCACAACTTTAGCTGATCCAGCAGAGAGAAGCGACAGCATCAGTAGATGAAGAAGAAGACTCATGATGAAGACGAGGAGATGATGATTTATCAGTGTATCTGCAAGAACAATGAGATATTTACGTTTTAGCAGCTTGTAAAATAACACTTACCTCAGAATAATAGATGTCCAAATTAAAGGTTGAGTTGTTATCAATGAAGAGAAAACAATGTGAAAATGTAACATGATACAAACATTTAAAAAAAATTAATAAATGAACGAAAATTATTAAAAAATAAAATAAAATGCAAAAGAGTCAAAGGCAGTTCTACAAATACAGCAGTACACACCGACTCTGAAGTCAAGAAAACACTGATGATTCAGTGAGACGGACGAGTATTTATCCTCCAGTTCTTACCATTAACACATTCAAGGAAATGTACTTCAAGCAGGACACAAACTTGATCCAACTCATTTTTCCCTTCAGTTACGATTTTATTTTTATTTTCGTTTTGCTTAACTTCCTGAAGGTTGATTCTCAGGAATGTGTTCATTTAAAAGATAAATGAAGAGAATACTACATACATAACATTGGATGCTTGTTGTTTGCAGGATATAGAGTATAGTGACCCTGCCTGTATTTAAATGTACTTGAGGGGGTCTTTTTAATGCTTTAACTTGCTGATTATTTATTTATTCTTTGGCTTGAAACAGTTGACATTGTGATCATCTGCCCATGCAAATTTTGCTCATGTCTGCTTGAATGAGGAAACAAATTTTTAAAGGTATTTTCCAAGCTTAGGTTTTAGAGACACATCAGAGTATACGTTTCAATGTTTAATCTGCTGATCTACAAAATCCACTGTGTGCACTGTGCTGTTCTCAATTTATGAAAACCAAGCCTTTAACATATGTTTCTCGCAAATGTTGTATCAGGGTAAATATATTGATGTTGCATTATAATCAGTGAGTAATGGCAAAAGTATGTAAAGGCATTTGTCGGTATTGATCTTTTTAGTGTATTTTTATTCAAGGTAAACATTCAGAAAAGTATTATTAAGTCTGTTTCAGGGTAGAGGCCCAGTTTGGCATAGTGAAAATGTGTGCATGGGTTAAAATCTAACAGCATGTTAAATAGAGAGAAGAAATTATAATTTTTTTTAAAATCTTTATTTCATTATATAAATACAAATGCCTTAAATTATTAACAATGTTTTTTTATTTTTATCATCTACACTACCTGACAAATGTCTTGCCATCGATCCAAGTTGTAAGAGCAACAAATAACAACTTGACTTCTAGTTGATCATTTGAAAAAGTGGCAGAAGGTTGATTTTTCTGATGAATCAACTGCATCCCAATCATCACAAATACTGCAGAAGACCTATAAGAACCCGCATGGACTCAAGATTCTCACAGAAATCAGTCAAGTTTGGTGAAGGAAAAATAATGGTTTGGGGTTACATTCAGTGTGGGGGTGTGCGAGAGTTCTGCAGAGTGGATGGCAACATCAACAGCCTGAGGTATCTTGACATTTGTGCTGTCCATTACATTACAAACCACAGGACAGGGCAAATTGTTCAGTAGGATCGCGCTCCTCATACTTCAGCCTCCACATCAAAGTTCCAGAAAGCAAAGAAGGTTAAGGTGCTCCAGGATTGGCCAGCCCAGTCACCAGACATGAACATTATTGAAGATAAATCTTGATGAACTCTAGGAGTCCTGCAAGAACACTTTCTTTGCCGTTTCAGATGACTTTATTAATCAATTATTTGAGTCATTGCAGAGATGTATGGATGCAGTTCTCCAATCTCATGATGGAGTCATACACAATATTGGTTCTTTCTCCACTGCACCATGACTTTATATTCTATACTGTTCATTATTTCTGTTAAGTGACAAGACTTTTGTTAAGCAAAGTCAGACCTTACTGTCCTAATTAAATCTTTAAAAATCAAGGCATGATCTTATTTTATTTTTTGTAAAAAAGTGTAATCTAGAGGCCTTTGCCTTTCACATAAGCCACTTCTGATACCAAATGATCAACTAGAAGTCAAGTTAGTATTTGTTGTTCCTAAAACTTGGACAGGCCACAAGACTTTTTTCAGGTAGTGTACAGTCAGATTTGTAAACATTCGGGAAACATTGTTTCTTTTTGAGAAAATAACTCAATAAAGCTTTTTATATTTATTACTCAGAACTATTTAAACAACTTAAAAGATTTTACTTTATACAGCTCTGCCAACTCTTTCTCCAACTCTTCCACAGTTCTTCCTTTGATATCAACATTGTTCTTGTTCTGTCCAATAAATCCCTCTGAGATTTCACATTTCTTTTTGTATAAGCAGCAGTATGCAGTCCAGAAATGACTAGGCACATTCACTCTGTCGTTCAGTGTACGTCTGCCTGGCACCACTCCGGTCACTACATAGGGAGTGTATTTTTGTAGTAGACAGTTGTGGAGTTGTTTATCTGCTAAAAATTTTTCTAGTGCCCTCCATGGACCTTTGTTAAACTTGGGCACTTGTGGAGCAGCATTGGTGAGAGTGAAGGTGGAGTCAGCACAGTCCTGAGATCTCGCATGGTAAACTGGAGCCAGATGACCTTTGTCAAAACCAGAATTTTCATAGTCTTTACTGACAGCTTGATGATCTCCAAGTCCTTTTATTAGCTCTTTCTCAGAAATCATGTTTGGTTTTGCTTTAATATCATCAAGCTGAAATTATGAATCAAGTGAAAACATGAGTGAAAACAACAGTTCAGCCAACATTTATGTTTTATTTCATTAATGGTTCTTTAACAGAAGGAGCTTCAATCCTTTAGTAAGTTTGCAAAACTAGTTTTTATCGTAGAGCATTATGTGACAGTGTCAAGTAAGGTGCACATACAGTGCTCAGCATCTATAAGTACACCCTTCACAAATCTTTCTTTTAAATTAATATTTTAATAGGAAGCTATACAATATTATATTTGTGCATCTACATTAGTCAGATTGGTCAGTACTGACGCCAATCATCTAACAAAATATCTTACAACAACGATTCAAATACTAGTACAGCCAAATGTATATGTTGTAAAGAATTTTTTAATACAAATAAAAAAAGAGGAAAAATCAAAAGAAGCAAAAAATTTTAAAATGTTGAAATTTAGTAGGTTGTACTTTTGTTTTTGCAATATTTTGCAAGAGTTTAAATGTAATTGTAAATGTTCGGTGAATAAAATATTATTTTAATAAATATATCCGTTTAATAAATTAGTTTTGTTTAAATGCACCAAATTACATTGCCAATATTCACTGAGATATGGTTAAAAAAATATTCATTTTTAAAATGGGGTGCACTCAATTATGCTGAGCACTGTACACAACCCCTACTGTGATTTTTTTTTCTTTTTTTTTATATGTCCCAAATTATGTTTAACAGAGGAAGGAAATTTTCAAATTTTCCTATAATATTTTTTCTTCTGGAAAAATTATTATTTGTTTTATTTCAGCTAGAATAAAAGCAGTTTTAAATTTTTTTAAATACCATTTAAGGGGAAAATTATTAGCCCCTTTAGGATTTTTCCCCCTAATAGAAAAAAACTATTTTATACAATTACTTGCCTAATTACCCTAACCTGTCTAATTAACCTAGTTAAGCCTTTAAATGTCACTTTAAGTTGAATACTAGTACCTTGAAAAATATCTAGTAAAATATTATGTGCTGTCATCATGACAAAGACAAAAAAATATGTTATTAGAAATGAGTTATTAAAACTATTATGATTAAAAATGTGCTGAAAAAAAACAAATTGGAGCAAAAAATATACAGGGGGGCTAATAATTCTGACTTCTTAATTATAAATATAAAAATGACTCCAATTACACAAAATTATACAATTAATAAAAGCAACAACTGACATTAATATAATGCATATTTCATAGAAATAATACACTTACTTGAGGTTCAATGTACCACTTGTCTCGTCTGTCACAGCTCAATGCCCCTTCAAACACATAGGCCGAGTACACAGGGATCCTGTTGTGAGTGTCGTAAAGTGTGGCGAAATGATACTCATCTCCATCTAGAGTTTGGCAGATCTGCCTGTACTGATCTCCAGCAAGTATTGTTGGTGACTTTCCTTTTGCAAAAAATTCAATACAGTCAAATTGAAAATTTTTCACAACTTCAGCTGATCCACTTGAGAGAAGTGACAGCATCAGTAGATGAAGAAGGAGGTTCATGATGAAGATGATTTATATGGTTTATCTAAAAGAACAAGAAATACATGATGGTTATGGGAACAAATAGCCATGTCATACAGTTGACATTAAAATGATTATCAATCCTGGTTGGCTATCCTCTATTTGAACAAACCACTGTTAAGAAACAAGTTGCCTAATTATCTTAACTTAAATAACACAATCTAAGTTTAGGTGTCTTAAAATATAACTAGAAAAAATATGATGCACTTTGTATGTATTATGTCATTAAGGCAAAGACAAAATAAATAAGTAATTAGAAACTAGTACAGGAACTACTATTATGTTTAAAAAAATATTAAACTAGATTCAAATTAAATAATATAATTAAAATGACAAAGGAAGGCTAGTATTTTTGACTGCAACTGTAAATAAAGTACAAAAAATACTGCTCTGAGAATTGTATTTGATATTAACAACAAAGTAAAATAAAGTTAATGAGTCATTTTTAAAAAGGAGGATGAGTTCCTGGGCAGCCATAGATAATTTTGGCTACTGTCACTGTAAGACTGATGAAGAGACCATCTGTAGCCTTTTTGTTTTTTCCATTTATGTCAGTGTTGTGCAATTTTTTAATTCATACAAAACAAAGCTGACAATGCCTCACTCCACCACACCTCATCTCAATCTGAGACATTGTGATGATATAATCTCCTCTTTATCCACTGGTTTAATTTGACATCCAAAGTAGGAACGAAGAATACTATGGAAGTCAATGTCCCACCCCAAATTCTTCAAAATCTCTTCATAGGTGTTCAACATACGAAATAAACTCAAACAGGTTTGGAACAAGAGGAGAATGAGTAGATCACACGACAGAGGTTTCATATTTTGGTGAACTATAACTTTAAATCTGTGGCCTGGTACATTTGTCCCAAAATTGTTGTGGCGCATTTGTTTTTTTTTTGGATAGAGCTAAGTTTAAACACTGCTTTTCACAGCTTATTGCATTTAATAACTCTTTTTAACATCAAGCATGCCCCTTGTTTTAATTCCTCATCCATGCATGTTTTTTTTAGTGCACAAACATGTCAAAAAAATCACTCAAAAAATATTATTTTTGCTGCCTGTTCCAGCTACTTATTCAAAATGAGCTGAAACAAAAGATTTGTGGAGATTTTTTGGGGGGGAACTCAAATCCATTTGAATGTGTTACATTAACTTAATTTGTTTTGAGACAACAAGAAAAAATTGTGGAACACTGCATTTTTACAGTGATGTCCCGTCCCACAATACGTCAATGTCATATTTTTGATCCAGCACAACACACATTATAATATTTTAAAAAGTAATTAAATAGATAATTTGCATACAATTTTAAATACTGTTAATTCAAATAAAATGTAATATGTGAGGTTTTAATTTCATGCCAGCTGATATTGTGAAATAATATGAGACTTGCCTCAAAATTAAGCAGCAGAAGTAGATCGAGCTGTTCAAGAGACAAAAAGTTTAATATATTACAAACATAATGCACAGCATCTTCATTAAATGTCTGTAATTATAACACAAACAAAAAATTAAGAATAAAAATGTAACATTTAAATGCTAACGATTTTATCAGAGTCAGCCAATAAGAGATTTTATACAGTTGCATCAAGAATCAATAAGATTGAAAAAAAGTGAAAAGCACCTGAGATTTCCAGAAAACCTGAGCTGAGATCCAGTTTAAGCCACTTATATACTGCACATATAGGCTTACTTGACCTGTACCATACATAAGCTGCTGATGTAAGTAAGTGATATGCAAATTTAGTTCTGGTCACTACTGCAGATTTTGAATATTATGGAGAGATAATTTATCAAGTTACTGATACAAATAACTGTAAAACTAATAGACGAGTCGGCAGATAAGACTGTCACGCAAATGCAAGAAAAAAACCACAAGAAGAAATGGTTTAATTGGTTGTTAATCTTGTAGCTTTACACCTAGTATTTAATTCCACTTGTAAAAAAGCTGGGTTTATTCAGGGTCAAATGTGGACAAATAACTGTTTCATTAAATTTAAGTTACATTTTTCAGCACAGCTGTTGGGTTCGTCCATATTTGACTCAATGTTGGATTAAAACAAACCAGCTTTTTTTGAAAGAGTTAGCATTTTACTTATTTTTTGGACAGGGCTAATGTAATGTGCAAACGAACCAATGAATTCATGATCTAACTGTATTATAGTGAAAAAGTAATGATGTATTATATTGTATAGATATTTTACAGTATAATGTGCTAACAAATTAAAATATATAGCTGCCTTTTCAATTTTAGTATGTGTGTTTCAAGGAATGAAGGTATCAGAGCTTCCCAAAGTGCAGTTGCTTTATACATTCTGAAGCTCTATACTTATATGTCCAACATTGACATTCTCCAATAGTGTCATGGCAGCAGACTTGCACATATACACACTCATACAAAAAAAGGCCATATTCTCATCATTATGTCTGTATCATGTCTTATTTTAAAACCCCTTTCCTTCATGATAGTACAACCTGTTATGAACTGACACAAGCACTGGAAGAGAACTGGTGTACTGATCATGTTTTGAGCAGAGTCTTAAAACCACACAAGAAATTTTGTCAAATTAATATCCAAATAGCCATCTTGGCTAAAAAAAAGTACATTTGGGTTTTATACCGTAGTGCAAAAATAGATTAGTCATCAAATAGACAGTTCTTTTTTTTGGATTAGTGTTAGACTATTGTAAGATCTATTTTGTTTCTCAGTGTTTAAGCCAAGACATATATTGTCACCTTAGAAAGGTTCTATCTGCGTTCTGAATGATTTTGAGATGTTGAGCTTCAAAGTTTTTTGCAGTACATATAGCAAACAATATGCGTGTAACAGTTCTCTTTCTTACATTAACATGACAGAGACCCTAAGGGTTCTCTAAATGTAATGGATCAAAGTTCTCCTACATTTGCAAATTGGAGTAAATATACCACAATAAATGCAGATAGAAACTTCTCATTCTGAAAAGTTATTTTCCGCTTGGAATTATAAGGTTCTATCTGGCAGATCATTCATTGAAGCATTACTTATCAAGAAATACAATCAAGAAATATTTGTTGGTGTTGTAACAATATGTTGATGCTTGAGAGAGTAACATTTTGGTTTCTATAACATTTATTTCATGTTTTGGGATGAATATTTTTTCTTGTTCAAATTGAGCTTACAAGGCTGAGCTAAATATTTTTTTCCAGTGCAGCTGTTAATTTTATCTAATTAATATGGTAATATGTATGACATTTTATGCTTTATATGAATTATTGAATCATATTTATTGAATTATATGCCCTATGCAATAAATTAAGTATATGCCCTTCAAGGCTTAATATTTAATGTAAAGACTTTAAAAGAAACAGACGATGACCAATGAGTTTAATAAACACTGAACAGAGTTTCATTGTCTATATGTAAACAAATATATTTCACATTTAATGTATACATTTTTTTAATATTCATTTCTTTTTCAACAATATAAAATGTAACATTTCATCTCAATGTCAGCGACACGGTGCCACAGTGGGTAGCACGATCGCCTTATAGCAAGAAAAACGTTGGTTCGAGCCTCAGCTGGGTCAGTTAGCATTTATGTGTGGAGTTTGCATGTACTGTCCGTTTTGCTGTGGGTTTCCTCCAGGTGCTCTGGTTTCCCCCACAAGTCCAAAGACACGCGGTACAGGTGAATTGGGTAAGCTAAAATCAGCCGTAGTGTATGTGTGTGTTTGAGTGTGTATGGGTGTTTTCCAGTGATGGGTTGCAGCTGGAAGGGCATCCGCTACGTAAAGTATATGCTGGATAAGTTGGTGGTTCATTCCGCTGTGATGACCCCAGATTAATAAAGAGACTAAGCTGTAAAGAAAATGACTGAATCTTAATGTCAAGAAATGCTTCTAAATCATTACCTTTTCACAGGTCTCAATTTTGTGTGGTGCGGCATTATTTAATTGAGTCTGATTTTGTGTGATTTTTGTCTTGCTGGTGTTTCCCGCTGTCAATGGATCAGTCCGGCGAAATGACAAAGAAAACTGATCCTGATTGGTCCTCGTGCAAGCTTTAAAAATGCTGATTGGCTCACAGATAGAACCTTATAGAGCCAAGCTAGAGTTCAACTTTGTAGATAAACCTTTTTTGTTTTTTAATAAAAAGTCTTAAAATGTAAAACAACTAATAAAAACAAATCACATAATGTAAATAAGATCTCGTTTAATAAGAATATGTCAAAAACTCAATTTTGACAAAAATGTCAGATTGAACCTATAATTCTAAGGTGACGATATGTTGGGACATCTGTTAGACGTCTTTTAGAAACAAAAATGCTTCCATCACTATTTTCACTGTTGCAGTTTTTTTAACCTATTACTATACATAAAGTGTAGCGATGTGCAAATTAAGTTCTGGTCTCTGCAGATTTTGAATAGCTAGGCTGACAAGACATAGTAGATAAAACGTTTTGCATTTTAATCTTGCATAGATTTCAAGGTAGGAGCAGGGACACATTTTGGCCTTATTACTGTATGTGTCCATTTGAGTCTACATTAATTTCACATATATCTAGTACAATTTGTGGTCAAATTTGTGGTCAATACTGTATATTTAATAATATTTTTGCTTGTTTATTTTCTGCTTTAATGCAACGTGGTGGCACAGTGGGTAGCACTGTCACCTCACAGCAAAAAAAGTCGCTGGGTCAGTTGGCATTTCTGTGTGGAGTTTGCATGTTCTCCCTGTGTTCATGTGGGTTTCCTCCGGGAGCTCTGGTTTCCCCCACAAGGCCAAAGACATGCGGTGCAGGTGAATTGGGTAAGCTAAAATTGTCCGTAGTGTATGAGTGTGAATGAATGTTTCCCAGTCATGGGTTGCAGTTGGAAGGGCATCCGCTACATAAAACATATGCTGGATAAATTGGCGGTTTATTCCCCTGTGGTGACCCCAGATTAATAAAGGGACTAAGCTGAAAAGAAAATTATTGAATGAATGAATTTTA